CTCATTTCACTGAGGAATGAGCACTTTTTTGGTGACACCTTCGATGTGCTGTGTTTTCACATGTACAAACTCCAGGCATACTTTGAAAACACCTCTGTGCTGCGCATTCTATTGGAGAAAGCCATGCCATGACCACACCTTCGATCTGCTGTGTTTTCATATGTACAAACCCCAATCAAACCTCAATTCTAGGCAGCGGACGAAACCTACAGTTGCCGCGCGCAAAAAAAGAAATTAATTGAACTTTCCTTTTAAATCCTGTCGCACCTGCTGGCATCGTCCGGCCCCATAGATTTGAGGTTTGAACAAGGTTTGCTTGAGGTTTGTACATATGAAAAACCAGCATGCCAGAGCTTTGCCACTTGAAGTGTTCCTGCCATTGTAAAGTGTCCGATGGGACGTGTATTCCGAGTTTGTTCGAGGTTTGTACATATGAAAACACAGCATGTTAGAGTACTGGCAGCCAGCGTGCTTTTCTTGAGTCTTTTCCGGGCGGGTTGATGCTTGCTCATGTTGCCGGAAGCGTTAGCACAGACCTCAATGTTTGAGAGAGAATGGCAAAATCCATGTGTCTCACAGGCAGATTGCCATTCAGCAACTACTGCGTCAGTAGTCTGGCTGCTGGCTTTAGATTTCATCTTTACTCTATGTGTATCCCCTTGCCCCAGAATTTTAATATTGGATGTTGTGCAAGCGAGAAGCTTCTTAGATTGATCGCACACCGGCGCGTTCGATTTTTCACGTTTATGTTTGTATCAACATTGGTCTTGGGGGCAGGGGGGGGAGCTCGTTGAATCTAATTCAAGCTTTGGAAAGTATTGTGATCCTGGAGACTCATGACTCATGAGTGTACCTCCTCAGAAATTGCCGTGGACAGATCAGTCTGGCACTCGAAGTGATGAAGCTGCGGCCTTGGATTCATCACTAGGATCAGCAGATCCATCACTGCCTGGCTGGGCTTTTGTTGAAAGTACACCCGTTGAAACTCCGATTCTTTCAACTGAGTTTGACTTGCACAAGGACAAAATTGACCCTGGACTGAACGACATGTTTGGACATGATGATTCATGGCAGGTGACGGTTGTTCAAACAATTTTGGAGGGGACAGTGTTTCTGCAGAACCTTCAGTTGCTGACACAGACGAGTTGCAGACGCATGTTGTTGCAAATACTTTTCCGGCTGAACATGTTCGTGCAGATGTCTCATCTTCATCTTTTGATACTGTCACTGCTTTAGAAGTTGCGTCCAGATCTATTCCAATGCAGTCAATCGAGCCTATATGGGAACAAGGAATCTGGGGTGTCATTTTTGGCAATAAGACCATGCTTGATGTGTACAAGCCATTTGGTGAAACGCTGAAACGACCTGCAGATTCATCAAGACCCAGTTCAGAGTTTGGAGTTGCAATGCCGGCCTCAGCAAAACCAAAAATGTTTTCAGATTCAGGTTTGTCATTTTCAGATGTGGTCAGAAATAAGCCTGACATCTCCTGGCAAGAGCAGAGGGACTCCGACCTTCAACGGTCAGTGAAGTTTTGGATGGCGCTGGTGGACAGGTGGGACTCCAAGTGCAGTCTTCAATGCAGCATAGCCGAACTTGGCAGTACTAGCAGGATTTTCACTATGTTTGCACATTTGTTTGCTGGTAGGGCACCCATTACTGTACGTAAGAGGGCATACAGCATCATGAGATTGTGCGATTTCCTCGAGAGCGTTGGAGAAGTTTTCCCTTGCAATGAGCGGCTCTTCTATGACTTTTTGTGCAGTGAACAACTCAGCAGTGCACCCCAGTCTCGTATGAAGGGCTACATACATGCAATCTGTGAACTTCGTCAGGTTTGTCATGTCAGTAGAAGAACTTGCAAGTTTAACTACAAGTGCCAGATGCAAGGGAGCTTGCTTAGGGGACCATCTTCAGGAGAGGATACAGGCATCTCCATTGACGGTGACAGAGCTCAACCGTTTCCATCAATTGCTGCGTACAGGGGATGACTTGTGGATCAAGATGTTTTGTGGTGCAGTTTTGATGGCCGTGTACTGCCGTTCCAGATGGGGCGACTTGATGAGGGCCGAGGCAGTCATTGAGGACTGTGACAAGAACGGCCTTCTGTGCTATTTGGAGGCAAGGACAGGACGGCACAAAACCATGAAATCACAAATGCATCGCCACCAATTTTTACCGATGGTTGCACCAGCAGCTGGTTTGGCTTGATGTTAGACATCAGCTTGGAGTTGCATGGCCACCTGAGGGTTTAGTGATGCCTGCACCAGATCGACATGGCATCCCGACCGGCAGACCCCTGGAGACACAGGAATGCGCTGCTTGGATCAGGAAGATTGTTGGCACCTCAGTAGATAGCAGTTCTAGAAGAGTTTCAAGCCACTCATTGAAGAGCACCATGCTGTCTTATGCGGCAAAGAGAGGAATTGGAATTCCAGAACGTTTGCAACTGGGGTACCATACAAGCAATTTCCAGATGGGTATGGTCTACAGCCGTGATGGAGCGGCAGCGAGTTTAATGGTGCTGGAGAAATTGATTTCAGAGATTTCCCAAGGAAAGTTTGACCCTGATCAGACCCGCAGTGGTAGGGTGGTCGAAGTGCCAACCGCGCCTGCAGGTGCAGAGGTAGTCATCGAGGTGAAGGACGAGCCAGAGACCATCGAGGACTCTGAACCAGAGGGAGACTTGGAGTCGAGCTCAACGTCTAGTGAGGAGCCCAGACCAACTGAGATCAAACATTTCCCGGTTGTTCAACCGACTGTAGCACCAGATGGTTTCAATCTTTGGCAACACAGGATGTTGGAAATGTCAGAGTTTTTGCATGTGGTCGATCTGTCGGGAGCTTACACGAGAAGTTGAAAGAGGCACCACAGTTTGACACGCCACTCTGTAGCAATTGTTTCAACCGAACGCTCTCATGATTTGAATCAGTGTTTTCAAGCTCATGTTATCAGTCTTTCAGCAGTTGTCATAATTTTCTTGGACCGGTTGGGAGCTGAGTGCAAATCAGTCTGAATTCAGAAACTGCACATGTTTGCATCGGCAACTTGAAATTTCAAAGCTGTCAGAACTGTGCACCGTCATGCATGGGCAGTGAACACAGCTGTACCTTTGTCCGGAGCTTTGCAGTTTTCGAGTCTTGGCATCTGTGGTCAACTGAAGTTTCATTGATGTGACATTTCACTCATTTGATTGTGTCAGCGCAGTTCAGTTGGCAGTGAAGCATCTTAGATGCCATACAGGTGCCATTCGTGCGAAGCCACACGTGGAGAGCCCAAAAGGAGCCACACGTATTTGAAGGACAGGCCAGTCCAGGAAATATCATGCATAGCAACTCAGTTTCATTTTATGTCATCCCTCCTCATTTCAGTTTTGTCAGTTTCGGAAAAATTTGTCATGAAACGCAAGAGACCATGGACTGCAACTGTCGTTTCACAGAAGAGGCTGTGGAAAAACCAGAGCATGCTGGTTGTTTCGAGTGGCAGCCAATCCAAGTCAGCAGAAATTGCAGTGGTTTCTTTTTTTTTGGAAAGCGTCATGTTGACATTGTCATTTTATTTCATGTACGTGGGAGGCTCAGCTTAAAATAGGCTGCAAGCCACCATTGCGAGTTTGATCGCGTACATGTCGCTTCATGAACATGTCAATTGACTGATGCCAAAGCAGCCCATGATCTCATTTTTCCACGCTGAGTTTCAAACATAACAAGTTTCGATCACAGTCATTTCAACTTGCTGCGGGATGACAATTTTTAACGTTTTGCTTTGAAAAAAATCATAGCAGCGCCAGCCGCCATGAGTCTGGTAGAATCAACAGCCGCATTCAATCAGAGATGCGACGAGATTGTGGAGGACGGATCGGGTCCCACAGTGCAATGGTGTTCTCAATGGGCACACCTCAAACGCCACCCACGGAGGAGCAGTTTGTGGCTCTTGCCCAGCGAATTTTTGGAGCTGGCTACAGTGTGCGGCAAATGTCTGCCCTGAGACGGCTTCACTTTGAGAGCACCACTCTGGTCGTCTCCATGGAGAGAGTCACCAGTGACAGTGCAGACAAAGGAGACGCAGCCAGGAGAATACCTTTGGCTGAAAAGAGGCAAAGGAAGGAGGATCAGATGGCGAGGTTGACCGGCATCTCGATGGTGGGAGAGCTGGATCCCAGCCATGCCCTCCTGGACCTGGCCAATCAAATGTTGGAGAGCGGTGCCATAGTCTGGTTGGCCCCATCCAAATGTAGCAAGCGTGATGATGAAGTTCAACAGGCGCTCAAGGACTCAAAGTCCTCCGTGCAGGTGGAGAATGCGCAGTTGAAGGTGGGGCCTAGCACTGATACAGTTGAGGCCGAATGGAACTCTGAGTTGAAGTTTCAATGGTGCATGATGAGACGTGGCCTTGCTATGGATCAATGCAGGGTTCTCAGTTGGGGCATCCACCAGCAATGGATGAACTACATGCTCAACTTACTGAGCAGGCCAGTCAATCCAGGCTTCCAACAAATAAAATTGGAGCAATTGGTGAGGGCTGACCGCGAGATGTGGACGATTTTAGCACAGGAAGTCACTGGTAGCTTCAAGATGACTGGAAATGATATTCCTTTGGATGCGCACGTGAAGCGCCTGACCACAGATCCAAGGGTCACCATGCTCCTGTTACCTCTGCCTTCAAATCAGAAGGTACATGAACCATCAGGGGCCCCGACAAGGCCTACTTCTACAAGGCCGGCAGCTGCAGCACCAAAGAGGCCGAGCAAACGCAAGACGAGAGCGGAGCGTGGGTGCCCTGACGAGCTCAAGAAATACAACATGAAAGTTTCTGCAGGCCAGGTATGTTGGAACTACAATTTGAAAGACAGATGCCAGTTGCCAACCAATGGAAAACCGGCAAGATGTCAGCGTGGCTTGCACCTTTGTGCGAACTGCCACAAGCCTGGTCACTCAGTTGTCGTTTGTCGAGACGCAAAGGGCTCGTGACAAACCGTGCCCACTGAGCCACCCTGCAAGTTTCGAAAAGACTGTAGGCAGGGTTCAGGTGGGGACAATGACACCCACTCACGTGCAAAAGCATGCAGTGAGCAGCAACTTTCAGATGTTGAAGACACGTTGCATGACAGTTTCATTGCTATGGAGGAGACGCCAAAAGGCGACACTCATGAGACTTTGGGGGAGATGCCTGAAGGTGAACACCCACCTAAATTCACTTGCAAGAAAGATTTCACTGGTTTTTCTTTGGAGGACCTCTACGTCATAGAGATTTGTGCGGGGTCAGCCCGACTTTCAAAGATTGCACATGGGCATGGTTTCAGGACAATGGCGGTGGATCATTCGACAGCGAGGACATGTGGCTTTCCGATTTGCATTTTCGATCTTACAGATCCTTCTGACTTGGAATCATTGCTGCAGTTCATAGACGAAGCTGCAGCATGCATACTCATGATTTGGGTAGCGCCTCCATGCGGCACTAGCAGTCGAGCGCGAGAAAAGAAATTGCCGAAACTGGAAGCGGCTGGTGCAAAGGTTCCAACTCCTTTGAGGTCCTCACAACAACCTGATCAACTGGACGGGTTGGGGGGACTTGACAAGTTAAAAGTTGAGAAAGCAAACTTGATATACGAAGCAGTTTACAAGATCGCAACACGAGCCTGCATGCACAAGATTTTTGTTGCGTTGGAAAATCCCACAAACTCTCACTACTGGAACACTTCTCCAATGAAATTGCTCTGCAAAGAACAAGAGCATCACTATGTGACTTTCCATGGATGTGCACATGGCGGTTCCAGAGACAAATCAACGTCACTGTGGGTGAACGATAACTGGTTGGATGAGTTGGCACTGCTTTGTGATGGGAAACATAAACACAAGCCATGGACTACCACGATGCGAGATGGTAGCATCAAGTTTGCCACAGCGGAAGAAGCTGCATATCCCTGGCTTATCTGTGAACGCATCATCAACTGCGTTCGAAGCGTTGCCTTGCAAATGGGTGCTCATTCACCTCAGACGATGGCCGAACAAGCTGAAGGACCAACTTCAGACTCTCTTTCCAGAGTTGTCCTTGGTGCTCTGCCACGTGGCCACAAGGTCAGACCTCTTGTGGCAGAATTTGGACACTACATCACTGTCTACGCGGACCCACAACAGCCTGCATTGACAGAAAAATTCGTGGCACAGCAACCAAAGGGAGCAAAAATAGTTTCGCGCCGCATTGTTACAAGGGGTGAATCACAGGCTGCTCACTCAGGGGATCCAAATGTTTTTCTTCTGGACTTGGGGCAGTCAGAAATGATAGAAAAGGTACACATTGGTGTCCCAAGTGAGCCTGACGTTTTTATACAAAGGGCTTGGAAGCAGGGCATCCTAGAAGCCTTGACCGATACGTGGACCCTCAGATGGAAGCCATGTTGAATGCAAACTTTTTGGAGGAACCAGCGGCTTTGGCAAAAAGAAGGATTGAATTTTTCCACAAATACCTGTGTAGGGCAAAGGAGCTTCATGCGCAGGAGGAAGAACTGAGACGTGGCATGCCAGACCACGTGCGAGACTTGGTTGGGGGCAAGCGGCTCCTTTTGTGGAAAGAAATTCTTGCTGACTGCAACTATCCAGACACTTCTTTAATAGATGAAATGGCTGCCGGTTTCAGACTCAGTGGCTGGATGGGAAAGTCTAACGTTTTCAAAGCCAGGGCCAAGAGGCCTTCCATGTCTTTGAGCACCCTCAAGCAACTTTCAAGGGCGCTCAATGCTTCAACGCTGCGGAGCATGGATGTGGGTCAAGAACCTCAGCTTGAGGCTGAGACCTGGGAGGAAACGGTTGAGGAGGCAAAGAAAGGATGGATCTGGTTTGATGAAACTTCGGATTCAAATGACTGCTTGTTCAGTGGGCGCCGTTTTGGCATCCACCAATCCAACAAGACCAGGGTGATCGATGATTGTTCATGTTGTGGTTTGAATTGGACGGTTGGCCTTCACGAGAAATTCAGGTTGCAGTCGATAGATGTTCTGGCATCAATGATGGCGGCTGCCTTCAAGAAGTTTCCTCATCTTGAATTTCCAGAAGTTTTGGGACGCTGTTATGACTTGAAGTCGGCCTACAAGCAATTCCCTGTTCACAGCTCTGACCGTGCTTCCCTGCGGATGGCCGTTAGAGATCCATCTGCTGAAGAGCCTCGCTTGATCGGCTTCAATGCTCTGCCCTTTGGGGCAGTGGGCAGTGTTGCAAGTTTCCTGAGGGTCAGCATGTCAGTGTGGTATATTGGATTAGTAGCCTTGCAGTTATGTTGGACGGCTTTTTACGACGACTACAGTGTTTTGAGCCGACGAGAACTCTTGGCCAACACTTCTTGGTGCGTTGAATCCTTGTTTCAGTTGTTGGGTTTAAAGTTTGCTACTGATGGAAAGAAATTCATGCCTATCAATGCAGTTTTCAAGATGCTTGGTCTCCAGGTCGATTTGTCGACTTGCAGAGAGAAGGAGATGCTCATAGGTCACACCGAAGACCGCAAGAATGAGTTGAAACAGAAGATCGATGAGATCCTTGCTGCCGGGGTTATGGATTCGAAGGAGGCAGAGCGCCTCAGAGGAAGGATGGTCTTCTTCGAAGGATACACTTTCGGCCGTGTAGCCAATGCAGCGGTTAAGAATTTGGGAAGATTCTGCACTGATCGACCTGGCTCAATGCGCTACAGTCTTTTGACCTTGAGAGATCGTGTGCTCTCAGCTCCACCCATACGCATTGGCGTTACTTTGACTGACACGTGGACGGTGTTTACAGATGGTGCCTGTAGTCCAGAACTCCGACAAGGTTCAATAGGAGGTCTAATCCTAGACCCGCTTGGAAGGTGCCAGTCTTTCTTCAGCAGCATGGTACCGAACGATGTTATGGATGAATTTTTCCAGGCATCAGCAAATCCCATACATGAGCTTGAAGTGCTGCCAGTTCTGGTGGCTTGCCTTCTCTGGGGTGCAAGATTTTCTGGCGCCTTGATAGTGTACTACATCGATCATGAGTCAGCTCGGATGGCCTATATCAAAGGAAACGGAGAGACAAGCTTCGCTTCATACATGATCGGAAACTTTGTTGAACTTGAAGCTGCATGGCAGCACGAAACATGGTTCGGACGTTGCCCTAGCACGAGCAATCCTGCAGACGGTCCCAGCCGTTTAGACCTTTCTTGGTTTGAGGGAAAGCATGCAGAGCAGACCAGTCTAAACTGGGAGCAGCTCAGGCATCACCTCAATATAAAAGGGGAGAGGCCGGACAGGCGATGACTTCGCCCCGTTTGCCGTAGAGAAAAAGGTGAGACCTCATTTTCTCAGCTGTGCTTTTTATCGTGTCCGAGAATTTCCGACATGTCATTACCAATTTGCAAGTTTTATTTTTTGAGTGGAAACCGAATTGCGAGCGCGTATCGAGAATATGCGTATGTGATATATGTATATATATACTCTGGTATATATATATGCTTCGGTTTTATGGTATAATGTTTATGTTTGTGTGTGCCCCCTTTGTGGAGTTAGAAATAAGTTGAGAGTTTCTTGCAAAGAAACTCGATTCTATTTCTGCACGCAACTGGATAGGTTTTGTTTTGTGTTTGCGCTTTAATTTTGAAAACCAAACTGTTTGCAAAACAAACCTTTGGCACACACACATGAACGCACTGTCAAATTTTGTTTATGGCAAAATTTCCTTTCAAGGGTAGGGAGGGAGGGATAGTCTTGAAAATTTGGACAAAGATTGTCCCACCTCAACGTTGTTTCCCACCCTTCTTTGTAAGCCTATCCCTAAGCCTAAGAGGCCGGACAGGCGATGACTTCGCCCCGTTTGCCGTAGAGAAAAAGGTGAGACCTCATTTTCTCAGCTGTGCTTTTTATCGTGTCCGAGAATTTCCGACATGTCATTACCAATTTGCAAGTTTTATTTTTTGAGTGGAAACCGAATTGCGAGCGCGTATCGAGAATATGCGTATGTGATATATGTATATATATACTCTGGTATATATATATATGCTTCGGTTTTATGGTATAATGTTTATGTTTGTGTGTGCCCCCTTTGTGGAGTTAGAAATAAGTTGAGAGTTTCTTGCAAAGAAACTCGATTCTATTTCTGCACGCAACTGGATAGGTTTTGTTTTGTGTTTGTGCTTTAATTTTGAAAGCGAAACTGTTTGCAAAACAAACCTTTGGCACACACACATGAACGCACTGTCAAATTTTGTTTATGGCAAAATTTCCTTTCAAGGGTAGGGAGGGAGGGATAGTCTTGAAAATTTGGACAAAGATTGTCCCACCTCAACGTTGTTTCCCACCCTTCTTTGTAAGCCTATCCCTAAGCCTAAGAGGCCGGACAGGCGATGACTTCGCCCCGTTTGCTGTAGAGAAAAAGGTGAGACCTCATTTTCTCAGCTGTGCTTTTTATCGTGTCCGAGAATTTCCGACATGTCATTACCAATTTGCAAGTTTTATTTTTTGAGTGGAAACCGAATTGCGAGCGCGTATCGAGAATATGCATATGTGATATATGTATATATATATACTCTGGTATATATATATATGCTTCGGTTTTATGGTATAATGTTTATGTTTGTGTGTGCCCCTTTTGTGGAGTTAGAAATAAGGTGTTTGTGTCAAGTGTGCTGCTTGGTTTGCAAATCGTCTGGAACCATGTGACATGCACTTTTGGGTGAAATTGGGATTTGACAACCCATGGATCTAAACCCGAAGGATCCAGACCCCAAATTGCGAACAGTGACATTGGAAAAACACAGTGTTTCGCGACTTTCCTGCCTTTTCGCGCATCTGCATCTTCTTTCTTCTGACTCTTTCTCTTCTACTCTTCTCTCTTCTAATCTTTCTCTTCTCTCTGCCTCTGCCCTGCTCTGCTTTTCATCTGTCCATATTGTCGGAAGTTTGATTTCTAAATTTCCTTCGAAAAGTGTGCCACAAAATTGCCCCGCAAGAGTATGCCACAAGAGTGTCAGGCAAGAGCGCCCCACACGATTGTCTGAGAAGGGTGTCAAGCAAACGTGTTCTGCAAAAATGGTTTTTCATGCGATCGAACATTTCCTGTTCGCTTTTCATTGTTCTGTAGGAACCCTTCCTCAACCCGAACTTTTAAAAGACGCATTCGGGTTCGTGGTTTCTACCAGTTTTTCCCCACCTGCCAGGTGAGGGTTGTTAGATTTTATCAGAGCGCATGCCCGCCACTTCCTCCTCCTCCTCCGCCTCCTCCTTCTCCTCCTCCTCCTCGACTAGCTGTCCTCCTCGCCCTCCTCCTCGCCTCCGCCTCTTCCACCTCCACTTCCGCCTTGCCAACCTTGCCAACCTTGCCAACTCGTCGCCAAGCTCTTCGCCAACTTCCCAGCTCAGTGCGCACTGCTGGACGTCAACCTGCGAGCTGACCAGCTCAGTGTGCACCGCTGGACCTCAACCTGGGACCTGCCCAGCTCAGTGTGCACCGCTGGACCTCAACCTGGGAGATATGCCAGATAGAATGTCAGATAGAATGCCAGAAGATATGCCAGATAGAATGCCAGAAGATATGCCCGATAGAATGCCAGAAGATATGCCAGATAGAAGGGATTTTACACAACGTGGATGGCACCTTCTTGGGCGTAAAACTTGAAAGGCTCATTTCATAAAAAATGAGACGGCCTAAAAAACCTCAATGATATAACTGGTTTGGAAACAAGAAAATTTTTTTGAGTTAAACAAAAAAACATTGAGTCTGTTTCCGTGCATCGACAATCTTACCAAAGACTTCGAAACGTGTTAGGAAACGTTTGGCAGGATGATATCAATTTATCTCATGCTGTGATGTTCCTGGTTCAAGTCCTTCAACAAAGAAGGCAAAACAACAACGAAACTCAAATGTTTTTCATGTGCAGTTTGGCATTTCAGGTAGTCAATCAACATCTTTGCACATGATCTTGAACACAGGAACTTTTGGAATCATACTTCACTCAAAATTTTTCTTTTCCCACCCTCCCAACCCTAAGACAGGGAAGGGGGGGATATAGCAACCGAGCTATCCAGCAATCCTGATAAGACCTTTCAATGTCCAATCAGATGGACCTTCAACAACAACTGGATGATGAGATGTACAGATCGACCTCGAGACAGCACAGTCTCATATCTGATCTCCCCCGATTCGGTGTCAAAAGAAGCGCGGCTCGGCTACTGATGCAATGTTGGTTGTCTGTGAGAGTCTGCATGACAAAGAAAGTAAGAAGAGGTTTTTAGGATCAAGTGAATAGAACAAGAATGTCAGATAAAATGCCAGAAGATATGCCAGATAAACTGCCAGAAGATATGCCAGAAGATATGCCAGAAGGTATGCCAGATAGAATGTCAGATAGAATGCCAGTCGGTATGCCAGATAAACTGCCAGAATGTTTGCCAGATAGAATGCCAGAAAATTTGCCAGATAGAATGCCAGATAGAACGTCAGAAGATATGCCAGAAGATATGCCAGATAGAGTGCCAGAAGATGTGCCAGAACAGATTGCAGAAGATATGCCAGATAGAATGCCAGAAGATATGCCAGATAGAATGCCAGAAGATATGCCAGATAAAGTGCCAGAATGTTTGCCAGATAGAATGCCAGAAGATTTGCCAGTAACAAAATGTATAAATGTCATGGTGGGGATAACTCGAAGTAAAGTATTTTTTTTTGGTGTGGTTTTCCACAAAATTGTTCAAGGTCTTACTCTGCGATACGGGTGGTCCAAGCAAAAGTTGAAAACCTGTTGTATACAGTAATAATAATGCACCCCGGAAAGGCCGGGGGGGTTACTGCATGCACTTTTGCAGGTAAACTGATAGTTTCCAGCAACCGTATCTTTCAAAAACCTTGCAAATGAATTGAAGAAAAACATGGCGTAGCTTTGGCAGACGCGCCAATGCATTTTGTTTTGAACAACAATGTATTTTTCTTGGACATTTCGTTTCCTCATGCTACATCCCCCGACAAATTTTCGCCACCATCCCGTGTTACTTTTCGATTTTTATTTTTTTTCTGAAATCACGTTATTTTTAGGTTCAAAGGTGCATCTGTGACAGAATTGCAGCTGAATGCATTCACAAATAAAATCATTCTTGATATGTTTTGGGCAATCGAATTGGTTGTGTTTTGCAACAGTTGATGCAACCATGTCTGTTAATGTTTGTTTGCAAATGTACATCACAATGACCAGCACGTTGGCCGCGCTGTTGGGGCATGGGAGACGTGGAAACAACATGCCATTGCCATTCCGGTTTCACACCCGTCAAAACAAACCGGTGTTGCTTTGCTCTTTTGTTGGAATGGTCATTGTGTCGGTTTTTGCTGCTGCATGGTATCGACAATCAATTTCTTCGGTGCAATCTGCGCCCAGGACGATGACTACGAATTTGCAAACGTCACAATCCTACAGCAGCACCATGCCTTTCCAGTTCAGATTTCAGATTTGCAACGGATTGACAAACCAGAAACTTCAAATACTTGACGGGGTGTTGGTGGCCCTTTTCTTGGGGGCACAAATCGTTCTGCCAAAAATGATTGCATTGAACGGTGCCCAGTTTCTGTCAATTACAGATATGAATATGCAACCTACAGATCGCATCTTCAATATGCGACGTTTCGAGAATAAAATTCAACAAACGTATTCAAATTTTTGGTGTCGCCGGAGAGAACACCAAGCTTTCAAAATTTGGTGTTCAGACAATCCTCCACCTGCCATTTTGTATGATACCAACATTGACATCAAAAATGTTAACGTTGAACATCTAAAACTGAAACCTGATGAATGGGGGCAAAATGCACTTACGGACATTGGAGATGCGGCTTTCATGCGAATATTTGAGGACAAACGTTTCATCATGGACAAATCAATTTTGCGGATAACAGAACCTTGTGAATTTTGGTTCAATGTCAAAGTCAAAGAGGGGACTGATTTTTGGGATGAATTTTGGAAAATACAAGATGTACTGGAGTTCAATGATCAGATTGTCGAACTCGGTGAAAATGCCAAACGAATTTTTCTGCATAACTTTGGTGGTGTTGCACGGGCAAAAGCAAAAAAACACGGATACAAAGTTGACGACGAAAGCATTCAGCATGGTGGATTTCATGTTGTTCACCTTCGGGCAGAAAAAGATTGGCAGAATCATTGCGAGCGGTGGTTTTCATGGATTGACCGCAGGGACAATTGCATGAACAATACATGGCATATTGGGAATGTATTGCTGTCAGAGGGCATTTCTCCAGCTCTCCCCGTTTATTTGGCAACTGGTCTTTCAGAGACTGATGTGCGAGACCTTCGCAACATCCCTTCGATGCACAGTTTTTTCAACATCTACACAGTTGTGACCAAAGCCATGCTCGGATTGACTACAGATGTGGGCGAAGAACGGGAGTATTGGGCTGCTGTAGATTTTATTTTGGGACGGGATGCAGAATGGTTTGTTGGGAACAGCATTTCCACGTTTTCAGCACTGATGATGGAATTTCGGGCCCGGCGGAAGATGCCGGTGCTGCCTTATAATGCAGGAAAAATGGCTTTGGAAGAGATCGATTGTATTCGGCCAAACAAAATGACCCTGATTCCTCCGGTGAGGCCAGTGATAAAGTGGTTGTTCATTCTACCACAGAATGTTGAACAATACGATGTGGTTTACAACATGACAATGGCAGCTGTGAATAGTGCACTTTCAAAAACACGTGTAGTACCGGTCTGTGTGACAACAGCTGATCCGTATTCGGCCATTGTTGTCCGTTTGGCATCAATGGGCGTACGGATTATCCACCATACACCGAAATGGACGCGGGACGTCAACAGAATGGTTGAACGTTGGAATAGCGTCGGTGAACGTTCTTTTTTCCAGTACTTTCGCCCTCTTAAAGCAGAAGAAGTTATAGCGCGATGGCTACGTATTGACTTGCCAATGTTGGGCCTTCTAGATGATTTTGCCCTTTACACCGACGTCAGTGTGGTATTTACCGATGATGTGAATTGGATGGATTTGCTTGGGGAGAACCACTTGAATCTGGCTCGCTCCATGGAAAGGAAGATGTTCCCTGGCCCTTTTTTCAACAATTATGCTCCTCCTGGCAAGCTTGGGGTGCCAAGATTCTTCGCTGTTCCCGACAGCAAGAACACCAGACATTCTGGTGTCATGTTGATGAATCTGAAAAATTTGAGGCAATCCTACAGTGAATTCAGTGCGTTTGTGATCAACGAAAAACAACTTCTGAAGATCGATGGGGTTGACCCGTGTTCTTACCTTGAATTTTACGAAGAAACCTCATTGCCCTTACGTGTCGGTTGGAAACCGCACCAACCAGAAAACAACAGTGTTTCCCTTGTTCATTTTTACGGGCCAAATTGTCAGGTGGACATTTTTCCGTATCTACGAACAGGGCATGTGAGATTTGAATTGTACCGAGGAGATTTGGAGATGTGTGCTCAAGAACGAAGTTGCGCCCAATTGTGCAGGCAGTATGAAAATTATTTGAACGACGCATCGGACACTTGATTCGCTTGTACAAACCAAGCTGAAAAGGAATATCTGGATCTCGCATGCATCAAAACAAACATATTTTCTGTCAAAAAATCTTTGAATTACTCAAATAATGTCCGACTCATCCTCCTTCAGTTTGCAATTTCCGAACAACACTTCATGATGCGCATGTTGATCAAATACCCCCAAAACGCAACATTATTCATGTAAAATGCAAAACAATCTATGTCATTGGGACCTAGGCGAGAATCCACCTCCAATTAAGGGATTGTGAGAGCCGGCACGGGTTTCAACTGAGACCATTTACCCGTTGCCTTGGCTCAAGACACGCAAGCCCCTCCGAGTCAAAAGGGACCAGTGCGGTTGCAATAGTTGGGGAGAAGAACAGGGAAACGATCATAGAGACCGACTACTACACATTGACACGAGGCACTCGAGCCCATTCACAGGTTATCAGCCGTACGCTCTCATTGGGCGTACGGTGGTCCTTACTACTTCGCGGACGAGCCCGAGGGCAAGGTGTTCGACAAGGGCACCTACCTGGTTGGTTGACCTTCCCCACCCCGGTGGGCGGAACGACCATAGGCTTGGGCATTGACTAAGGCATCCTGCAGAACTTGACCTACCACTAGTCGTTGGGCTGTCGTAAACGGAAGTAACTTGCAGAAGGGCATTAGCAATGGCTCAGAATCCCCAGTCAAGCAGCAACGACACTGATTTTTCCTTTGCGGCAGCAGTCCCGGCGGCAATCAACGACACGCCAGGATCTGCTGAAAGCGGAGGAGGCGGTACATCGTACTGAGCGCCTGGAAGTGGGGCATCTACAAATAGCTTCACGATGCTCAGCAATGTTGGCTCCCATAGAGGAAGTGCCAGGAGATCGACGTCGGCAAGATCGCATTGCTCTGGGCGTTCATCGACTGCTATGGTTAGGGACTCAAGTGGCCCCGGTCCGTCGGACGTGGCCACGCGTGAGGGTGAGGTGTGTCGGTCGGCCACCTCATCCAAGCGCAAGACCTCAGGCAGTGCATCGAGGAACGAGAGTGAAGCCCGACTTCGACGTCAACTACAACATTCTAACGAGAAGCTGGATCGCAGTGAACAAGCAAGGACTGAATTGGAGGGCAGGTTGAATCTTTATCAAGATGCTCTCAATCATCGTGATCAAATGATCAACAATGTAGAGGTCTATAGTCTATACATCAAGAAGAATAGCAGGAACATGTCAACACAGAGATGGAATACATGAGAAATTCCCTTATCAAAGCATACAACATGTTGGACGAACAATCTCAAGCTCTTGCTGAGGCTCATCTTATGGACGAAGGTTCAACTATGAGGATCATCGAACTTGGGAAACGTGGAGAACTCGCAGAACAAGGTGCGGCTCACATTGTCCAGGAGAGTATGGCGATGAGGGACGATACCATGCAGAATTGGAAAGTGCAGCTCATCAGATTCGAGAACAACGTGAACAATCTGAGGCTATGGCTGAACACTTTCGACAAAATGGACTGCAACTTCGCGAGGCATGCACACAGTATGTCAACGACAGGGAAACGGCGAACCGAGAGGAAATGGAATCATTGACCCAGAGATTGGAGGCAAACTCACAGATGATGGTGGCTAATCATGAGATGGTCATGGAACATGGTTAACAAGCTGTCGCACTACGTGATGAACGTGTGGCTGAGATGCAGACTGCCATCAATGAGCTTGCGGAGAGCTTGACGAAGAAGGATCAGATCATCGGCATCAAAGACGGCATTGCTCGTGACTGGTATCTGAAGATCCAGAAGATCCAGAACCGGGAGAAAGAGTTGGAGCACGAGACCGAGAAGATTGACTTGGAGCACAAGATACATCATCTGAAAGGCCTGAACGACAACGAGGTCTCCTCCAAAGAGTGGTTCGAGAAGCAATTACTTGAGGAGAAAGCAGAGTACAGAGAGTTCAGATACAATGAACTACAACAGTTCAAGGACAGAGAGCTCGGCCTGCAGAGCGTCATGCGCGAGTTCAAGGATGAGAACGTGCAATTGATTGCAATGAAGCGAAGGGTCAACTACGTTCGAGAATCGCTGAACTCATTGGTTCTCGTATCAACAAAAGTGGAGATGAGGGCAACGAGAAGATGGTTGAAGAACTCCGAGAAGAACTGCGCAGGGCAAATCTCGAGATCAAGAGGCTTCAAGATGCAATTGAACCCAACCCTATGTTGACGGAAGCTTTGGTCAATGCTGAAGAGGGCGAGGCAGAGAGATGGAAGAAGATGTACGGTATGGCTTGCAAGGAACGTGATGGGCAATCCGAAGGAATGCTGACTTGTCTCTGCCATTACGGGAAGCAAGAAAGAGAATGTCACTGGATGCGGCATCCTCACACCCTGCTGCCCCGGCAACCCCAGTCCCTGCATCGCCTGTGACATTACCACCTACGAGCTTGATCCCATCGACGGCACTACCCAAAGCTATGACACCGACATTCGCAATTCCTGGAACGACATCTGGAGGAACACCCAAAGCATCATCGTCGGTGAAGATCATGGACTTTTGCTACCTTCAACTCCAATTGTGGGCGGCACCATCAAGAACATCCAGACCACCAACGAGATGGATGACCTACGTGAGAAGCTCCGCAAAGCCGAAGAGCGTGCACAACAACACTACGACGAGATGAAGGAGTACCAAAGTTGGTTACAACAGGTGGAAGAGGGTCAGGAGACATCGAAAGATGACAATGAATCAGAACTTGATCCAGTACCTGATAATCCACCTGGACTTTGGGACAGTAAAGATGGCAAAGATGCTAGCATCCCTAACAGCGACATTGGCCAAGATGCAAAAGATTGGGTCACTCGAATCTCAAGGAAAGAACACGAGAAGATCACCGTCAAGCCGTGGCCGAAGTGTCAGGACCTTGACGTATGGAGATCAAACGTTGTGCAAGCTGTCTGTGTTGCATCAGGCGACCCTGACACTGCAGCATGGAGAAGATGGCTTACACCAGCTCAGCTGCCTGACCCAGACTATGCTCTACTCGCTGACTCAGGTGACTTTCGATTCCAGTCCGTGGACTCCAAGCTTTCAATTGCCTTACAGAACATGGTTGACGCTGCAGGTGAAGTTGCATCTGAGGTGAAGGTCAGAATAAGGCAGAGGAGTCAGGTGCTTGGAAAAGAAGGGAATTTTCTAATGGACAGAGAGATCTTTGCGATGGTTCTTGATCATTTCAGGACAACATCTAAAGATGAAGTGTTGTTCAATGCCAGCCACATCTACAAACTACAATATCGGGGTGATAAAGAAATGGACAAATTCCTCAACGCATGGATAGAGATCATCGCGAACATGAAGGTCGAGGATATCCCATCTGACAATACCTTGCGCGATCATCTGTTGAGGAAGATTGATGGTTCTCAAGCACTACATGTCGACCTCGCCATCTTCAAAGGAAGAGACAACGATGACAAGAAGAAGACCTACAAGGAACTTCTGGAGATCATGAAGAGGCACATTGCTAGAGTGCGTGAGGACAAGAACATCGCAGCCCGAGATAAGTTCGCCACAGACTACACCAATCTTGGCAAACCAACGACCCCTGCACCAAAGCCTGTAACATCTACACCTGTGCCTAAGGATGGTAAGACCGGAAAGCCTAGTGCTCCTGCACCCAAAGGTAAGCCTGGAGCTCCAGTGCTACCTTCCGGCAATCCTAACAGTCATGGCAAGGGCAAAGGCAAAGGTGGTCGGAGATCAAGATCGCCTGCTACCAGAGACCCATCAAAGACCTTTTGTCATTTCCACTTCAACAAGGGAAACTGGAAACATGGTGACAAATGCCAATACAGTCATTCACAACACCATTGGGATAAGAGGAAGGACAAAGGTGGCAAAGGTAGAAATGGCAGATCATCAACGCCGAGAAGATCACAAACCCCTGGAGGCAAGAAGGACCACAACTGTTACGGATGGCTGAAAGGTGACTGCAAGAAGGGCGACAAATGCACTTTCAAGCACGACCCCAGCATGAAAGGCAAAAGGGCTACTCCGGCAGCCAAGAAGTCTGATGCTAAGGCCGCTCTGGCACTGGTCGGAGAGTATGATGACGGCTTCATCGTGAATGCAATGCCGAGCGAGAAGAAGTCCAAGATGGATGTCAAGTTCAGTGAGCATGTGGACATGCTCGAGTACATGAAACACGACTTCGTGCAGTGCTCGAGCCGGAAGTCGAAGAGGAGCATGTCAAGAGCTCAAAAGCAGTCTCTCGTGTGTAGGACTACCCAAGAAAATTCTGAACGATCAACAATGGGTACTACAAGCCAAACTGGGTATGATGAGGGCACGTGCAATTGGCATCCTGATGGACGACTCCAACGAGTTCATGGACGTCGATGAGGTGCACATCGTTCTGGGTCCCAAGAGTGATATCCACTCAGATGTCATCACATTGATCATCTGGAAGATGACCCCAGATCGGAGATATGTTACGAGGAGGTGATCCATCACGCCCCTGGAAAATATGGACGTCGTGACAACATCATGTGCATCACAATGCCAATTGAGCTCAAGGACAGACGCTTCATTATGGACTCTGGGAGTGGTCATGATCTAATTTCTTCAACAAGAGTTGACAGGATGGACCTTGACACGTACGAGAGTTCGAGAGTCAACTTCCACACTGCCAACGGCATCACATCAACTACAACTATGGTGGATTTGGAATTCGACACGTTCAATGAGCCTGCTAAGGCACATGTGTTGGAAGACACTCCATCGGTGCTTTCTTTGGGAAAGCGATGCATGGAACAAGGATACACCTTTGTGTGGCCCAGTGGGAGAGAACCCTACATGATCAACTCTGAAGGTGACAAGATCAAGATGGAAGTTCATGATCTTATCCCGTATGTCTACCTCGGGGCGAAGGACTATAGGCCGTCGCCTGACCATGAGGCTGAGTTGGTGATGAAGGTGTTGGGTCTCATGGGTGATAACAATACATCGAGGACGGTATACCTTGATGGAGAAAGTGGTGATGAGATGTCCGAATCGGATGATGGAGTTGGTACGTACGTCGACGGGCCGACGAGTC